TTTTCAAAATTAATAATGGATCACTGGACTCTTTGTTTTTGTTGCAAACCCAGGGAGAAATATCTCACACACTAGGCTGTTCCACCTTAGCTCTGTAGTCTGCAAATGTAATACTTTGTTTGAGTCTCTTTTTCTCTCAGCAGTGTAGTTTTTGGCTTCAGCAGTCAATCAGTGTACGGTCTCATATTTACTAGGGTAAATATGTTGATTTTGCTCTATGTCTCTACAGATTTGTAAATAGGTAAATTTCCAGCTTTTTCTATGGAATTACAGTGTAATTATTAGAAATGTCTTTCCTAGAGCTTTTTTTTTCATTTTCACAGGACAATGCTGCTTGGAAGTACACGTTTTTGTTTGTACAAGTCTTTGTCCCTGTGAAAAATTAAGTGCACTCCTACTGCTATAGAAATAAAGAGGGTCAGAAAAGCCAGATGCTGCTAATCGAATGCACTCGATTAGCTAATCATCAGCAAGTGTGAACACCACTATAAAAGCAGAAGTTGGAGCTTGTCTTGTGTTAATACACAATTTTCCCAGGGCTGAATATCTCGGGAGATAAGACACTTCTTGACAGACTCTGCGAGCCTCAGCTCGTGTGTCTAATGTTAAAGGTTCACGACAGTGCATTTAGATAAACACTAAAAACGCATGAGTTCTTTGGAAGGGTTGCCAGGACTTAAGTGGTGATTTTGGCCATAATCCACAGCATATCATCACAAACACCTCATACCAACTGTAAAGCACAGTGGTGGTGGGCTAACAATTTGAGGTTTCAGGTTTAATTCATTGAGTCAACCAGGAACTCTTCTGTATCTAAAACACAACTGCTGAAAAAGAAAATAATCGAGGTATTGCGATAGCCCTCAAAATTCAGAGTTTAACCTGATTTAAATAACAGAAGCATTGCTATACAAAGAAATCCTCCAGAATGATGTGAGAAACTGATAAACTAATATAGAAAACAATGACTTGAGCTAGTACTGCTAAAAGTACCTCTATTAGCTATTCAATCATGGCATGTACTTGTTTTTTTTTTAATTTATAAAGCAAAGTTTGGGATTGTTTTAAGCCTTGCCCTTTAGTTTCTTAACAAATTTTAATTGTTTCATGAAGTTAATTTTTCCCTGCAACTTATTTAGGTTCCGAAAATGGAGGATTTGTAATGTCTAATATTTTACTATCAACTCTAAACTTATTCTAATAAAAACAAGCCTCCCTCTATTCCTGCCAACGAGCTTTCACTTTTGTTTGATATGCAAACACTTTTTTCCCCTGAAAGCTATGCATACTCACATTAGGCGTCTGTTTGAGCACAGCAGTTTCTATTAGTTAAAAAAAAAAGTGGCTTTGTACAATGGTGGTTATTAAAGGATCAGCAATGAAAAGAAAGCATTTAAATGGTGATAAGGCTCATTTTTTATATTTTGTACAGAGAGCACCAAAACAGATATGTCATTTTTATTAGCTGTCAGCCTGCGCTGCTCATAACAAATGGACTGCCTGCCAATAGATTATTCTCCTTCATTAAATATGCTGTAATGCGAGAATACAATAGCTACAACTAAATGCTTCATAAAATAAATGCTCGCTGTGAAGTGGAGTTAATGCCTTTGATGATTATTTCATGAGTCAAATCAGGATTTCTGCTCGTTCAGAAATTTCAGGCCTCTTGAAGCCCAGAAGAGGCTTCCATCAGTGAAAGAGGCGAAGCTGGAGCACTCTCATTCTCTTTTTGCTCCTCGTTCAATGCAAATGATTCTTCTCCAGCTGACAAGTATCAGTGGCTCCGTGTCCTGCAGCATGATGGAGTCGGGCTGTCAGGCTGGTGCCCGTCGTAGGCCTAGAGTGATGTATTCATTTAATTCCACAAAAGGTGACACGCTGTACAAAGTCAACCTTCCAGTCGCACCCTACCCTTTCTCTTAAACATGCACACATGTTTGTAATGAAGCCGTCTCTACTTGAAGTGTGGAAATGCAATTTAATGTTGTAGAAAAACATTTCCTCATGATGCCTGTTAAATTACTGCATGATAATTGTTTTAGCACTAACTCAGCCTGCTGTGTGGGGGGTTGATGGGCCATCATTAGCAGTGTGGAAGAGGTTTGAGCTGAACCCTAAGATAGCATGTACTGATCATCACCATCTCCTTTCCTTTGTCTTCTTGTTTTGTTGCAGCAGTTCAAATGTTTCATTCAACTTAACAAAGGTACTCTATTTGTTTGGAACTTCTAAGATAAGACATTTAAATAATTTGAACCAAAAGGGCATCATTCTTTGCGGTATGTGGGCCATGTGTAAGTTGTGTGCAGCCACGGACCAGTTGCAAACACACTGCTGGCCCTGTGCTGGCCCAGATGTCAGCTTAATGTGTACCTTAATCAAGCCATGTAATAGCAACATGTGCCGGAACATAATAGTGCAAAAGTAAGATGACAGAACGCTGTTCGGATAGTGAATGGACTGATTATTTTATAGCGCACATCCTTTCCCCCTTATTACTCAGAGCTCTATACAACATGCCATATTCTCCCAATCACACACTTTCTCTAAACTGAGTGCTTCCTGACTACATTCACACTCTTGACATGCAAGAGAAGCCAGGGATTGAACCTCCAACCTTCCGATCAGTAGGTGACCTGCTCTACCGCCTGAGCTACAGCCGCCCACCAGCAAAGAGGAGTAAACCGTCACTAGGTTTTGGTTAAAGTGTACACTCACAAACCTGTCAAACCTGCATTTGAAACGTTGGCTACTATAGCAGTATAGTATTGCAAATGGCATTTGGGTCATCTAACTAAAATAGAAAAATAGGAACACAAATAGTGCCATCATTGCCAGACCTAGCCCACATCTGGTTGACATACACTCTGCCATGATACCGGTCAGTCAGAAGTGCCAGCTTGATGCCAGATCCGGGCCAGACCTGTTTTCTATGGGCCTGGGCCACATAAACCAGACCACAATCGAGCCAGATATTGCATGCCATCACGTAGACAGTGCCATCTATCCCAGGCCTGGCCCATATCTGAATGACATATGTCTTATCATACCAGAAATCAACCAGCAGTGCCGGCTTGATACCAGATCTGGGCCAGACCTGCTTGCTAAGTTTCAGTGACTTAGTTCATTTATTTGTACATTTATTGAGATGCATTTGTTATTACAACCTAACATTATAGGGTGGCTTCGGCTCAGGAGGTGAAGCAGGTTAATAAAAGATTGTTGGTTTGATCTTTGGCAGGTCTGAGTTGTCCTTTGGCAAGATACTGAACCCAAAGTTGCTGCCGATGCATTCAACAGAGTGTGAAGGTGTGTAAATGTTAGGTAGCACTCAGACATAGAAAAACGTGCTTATATAAATGCACTGGTGAATGAGACAGGTTGTATAGCAGAAAAGCACTATATAAGAGCCAGTCCATTTTCATTAACCTGAGGTTTTGGTTGGTGTTGGGAGAAAGATTAGGGTTTTTGATGCCAAACTTATTTAGTTTGGCATGACTTAATTACAATACTCATGCAACAGCCAATCTGAAACCCTGTGTAAACTCTCATAACTTTGTTTATGATATGATAATGTTGCCTTGGTTAATACCAAATAAATGCATGTCATTTGGATTCAAAATGACATCATTAAAAGAAAAATACATTCATGAAGCTCCTTTGCATGTGGGTGGCAGCGTCAGTCTTCCTTAAAGCTACAGCATACAGGAGTGTAATCTTTTAAGCGTTCTTCAGTTTATAGATTGACTTCTCAGTTCAACTTTGACCCACTGCACCTACATAGTTACAGTATGTGTGCACACTTTTTCTTTTTTTTGTCAAGTTCTTCTGAGCTCTTCCTGTCCTATAATTCCGATTGATATTCTGTGGAGTAGGTCCACTCTCCCTTTTCATAAATATGCATGAGAGCTGTCGAGCTTTGGTATTGAATTGGCTTGATCCCTGTGTGAGTCTGTGTTTTTTGGGTTGTTTCTTTTGCTTCTGAATATATTGGGATAGGTGACATTCTGGGCTATGTTTGGTTATATATTAGAGAGCTGTGTTTGCCAGATGTGGTGTACTTTCTGTGTGTGAATGTGTATGTGTGCTTAAGGCCAGAGGTTCCAGAGCTAGGGTCACTTTCAGCCGCAGGGAAGCTGAAATGTCACGACTTGTTGCCTGCGGCTCTTGGGCTGCTGCTGCTGTTTGTGCCTGGATGGCTCTTAATTTAGCGTGCCTGATGAGGGTGGAGAGTAGAGCACACATGGTGCAGAGAAGAGCTAAAGTTAAACGCCTGCAGTCACACTGTAAAGTGAGGGTAGTAGGTAAAACTGAGAGAGAAAGCCCCCCCCCAATCTTTGTTTGTTAGATGAACTTTGTGCTTTAATGTTACACTGAGCAATCTGTTCATCTTTCAGCCGCATTTCAGCCCAAGGTCCACTCTCCTCTGCCATTTCGGAAACACCAAAATTTAGAATTTGTTGCTGACCCAGTTTTAGTTTTAAACCCTGGGTATGTGTTATGGTCTGGGCAAGAGAAAACTGAGACTTTTACAGTGCACAATTACTCACTTGGGGGTATTTTTGCTGTGAGTTGTGAGTTGCTATGAACCGAGCAGGGTGATGGATAAATTTCCTTCTCTACAGTTCAGAAAGTTCTGAGACTTTCAGATAGGAAGACACAGACACCTGTGTTCTGGTGCCTGATAGAGCCATATTTGGGTCGCATACTCATTTCCCTGGAATAGATAGTGATCCAGCCATATTTGCATTGGAGCCACTCTCCATCTACCTTTTCTGTTGCTATGTATTCTCAAGTCTTATCGTAACACTTTCTCCAAAACCAAAAAGGAAATATCATTCTTATCATTTTCATCCTTATCGTTAAACAAAAGTTTAGAAAAATCTTCCAACCTGCTTTTGGATAAAACCTCGTACACATAATGTGTTTTCTTTGAGTTTCCCCTTCCTTTGTTCAGGAAACTGAGCATCTGTGACCTGTGACTTCTCCCCCTGCAGCTACTTCGAGCTGGAAAGCAGCGGGGTGAGAGAGGAGATCCGCTATCACTACCGCTTCAAAGGCAAGCCACGTTCTGAATCCTTCCCCTACCGCCTCGCTGATGGCCAGTGGCACAAGATCGCCCTTACCATCAGTGCCTCCCACCTGCTTCTGCACGTTGACTGTAACAGGTAACACGCACACATACCGCTCTTGAGCACCTTCACATCTCTGTCACAAGAGACTGTGCTGAGTAATTTTTCCCATGCTCCTTTGAAGTGACATGTCTAATGAGCTGCCTGTGTTTATCAGGGTAAATATTTGTTCAGTGCATTCTCCTTGTGGAGAGCAGGGTGTTAGCATGGCTGACAGTAAAACATTCAAGGACAGACTCACGAAGAGAAAGGCTGTATACTGATATAACATCCTGTGTGTCTCTGTATAGGATGTGTCTTCAGCTCACACCGTTGTTTAATGAAGTGGAAGGTACCGATGATATAATCGCCACATTGATTGGCCAGTGAATACCCTTATCTAAAGAGAACACTCGAGGCTGATCTGTAAACACGCACTTCAGTTGTGACAGTCTTTCTCAGCCCTCACATTCTCTCCTGAGACCCATGAAGGCATCACTTGTCCTTTTTTTTAAATACAGTTGCTAGACAGAACAAGCAGGCTAAATTTGAGTGGAGGTAATGCTCTGTCACCACTTGAGGATGAAAGACGGTACGATGCACACGAGGATTGCGCTCTAATATTGATTTTTCCCAGATGCCCATTATACCCATCAGGCTGGTGGTTTGTCAATTAATTATCACTGCAGTGGCTGTCTCTCTGATGATAGTCTGGTGAAGATGAAGGAGGGCATCAGAGTGTTATTGGATAGAAAAAGATCAAAACATAATTTGAATCAAAACGTTTTGCTTATGCTGTTATTTTGAGCAGGGCTGATGTAATTAATACAGTGAAATTGAATGGGTTGGTTTGGTGCTATTAGTCATTAGCTTGTGGCTGCATGTGGTATAAAAGTGAAGCCTGATACTTAGCGTAACTGTCTGAGCAAGTGCCTGTGACTGTGTCTAAATCCTACTCATTTTTACAGAGTCTAGTCACTAATGCTTTTTTACCCCCTCAGCTGTGAAAGGCTGATGGGCATCCTGCCGGGGTGGCGGGTGGGCAGTGTGGACACCCAAGTTTGTGAATGTGATAACTTGAGAACAAGGTGATGTAGGATGCTGAAATTCATAGCACAGGTGCATCTGCCAAACATCTTAAATGAGTAAAAATTTCAGTGATCCCGACCTCAAGGTCAAGGCCAGAGATCAAGTTTTCTGAAAATCTGATATATATGTATGTACTTAATCAGGTCATTCAGCAATACAAACATTAACTTTGCACTGATGCCCTTTTTCTCATTTACCAAGACATGCAAGGAATTTGAAGGCCTATATTTAGAACTGTAATGTCAAGGCAAGAAAGAGTGTGAATGTCAACATGCTTACCAAGCCACTTACTCCATGTGTCTGGGTCAGGTTCACCACCTCATCAGCAGACACTTTCAGCTCTTACCTTTGTTTGGTCATCTGAATTCACTGTCATCTGCAGCAATGCCAGCTAAAGCCACATGCCACTCAGTTTTCAGAATGTCTTTAAAGTAGCAATCACAGCTCATGATGTCTTTCATCTGAGCAACAACACCGCACTTTAGTCCGTTGTGATGCTCTAACAAGGGGATGTTTTTCCCAGCTGCCCCAAGTGTCACCATCAGCTCCTCTCCCACCATAATCTCAGAATACACGGTGAAACCTAGTTGTGGCTCTGTCAAAGTGTCAAACAACAAAAACAGAACAACTGTTAATTCGGCCTTTTCTACAATACGCTAAATTTGACTTTAATCTACAAATGCAATTGCCTGTGCATCTTTGGGGCAGATAATTTTAAATCACCAGTGCTGGGTAAATACAAGAAACCAAAAGGTTTATGCAATAAACAGTCTAACCAAAAACAAAAAAACTAACGATAACCCACAAAATCTACTGTACATCTACTTTCATGTCACTGACTTTTATCTGTAACATTATTCGATATTTTTATCTGTAAGTGTGCATTGATAAAGCTTGAAATTGTATGTTTGTTTGTTTTTTTTGATTAAAATTTAGTATCAATGAATGACCAATCAGACAAAGCTGTCTATAAATCTAAACACTGTATTGATTTATATACAGGATAGTTTTCATCACAAAGGTACAGTTATATTTCATGTTTGTTTAGAATAATAATACAAATTAACTCAATGCCACACAAACTTAGACAAAGAATAATAGTCAGGAAGTAAATCTGCGTTGACAAAACAAGCGAAATAAAAATTGCATATTCATATCCACCCAAACTGAGCCTTTCATATTCTTCGTGTTAAGAATATTTACTTATTCAAACTAGCAGACCCATTAGCTTTGAATTTTTAAGAGTATAATTTCTGCACTAAACCACACTCTATTGATTTCAAGGCTCATTAAATGCTTTTAAGTGTCTGTAAATGGGAGATGGAGCAATTTATTGTCATATCCTCGGGTGGACTTAAACTTGTAGTGTTCCTTTGGCTTTTCCTTTACTGATGTCTATTTTACAGCCAAACACAAGATGTTGTTGGGTCTCATAGACTCATGTTTAACTGCAAAATCAGTAAGTCAATAAGGCTCAGAATTACAGTACAAAGAGTAATGATATAAAAGAAATTATAAATGAAATATTAAAGACATCGTTTTATTTGGGGGGAAATACGCTGATTTGCTTTATTGGCAAGCATTAGACAAAAAAAAAAATCAATATCACCTTCATGTCTGCCGGTTGAATATGAAGCAGAAGACTTGATGTACCTTCTCTTTGGAGGTTACCAAAGGACATTCTAGGAAATTAATATCACCCTCCCCAATGTTACGTTTCATTCTCCTGCTTTTGCTCCGATGAATGGCTTTAAAATAATAATTTCAGTTGCAGTAATGTATTCAGACACAGTTTAAATGTCTTTGACCCACATCGCTCATCACCATAATAATTTTTTAAATGAACCGAATGTTCCCCTACGCACATTTTGGACATTGTTCAAGTTGGGAAACGAGACTTGTTCATAACTGCCCTGTTCTCTAGATACTGCTGTCCCTTCATGAAGTTTGACAGATCCATGTGAACAATATTTTTTATGTGTTTCTGAACTCATTTCCATATCTTATACTTATAATTCCTCTGGTATTGTGGACGGTAGCAGCTTCAGCATTTACATGTCATCTTATTTGACTTCCTTGTGCAGGTCCATATGCCCAAACAGAGGGCTCTTACCTTGGGTTAGGATTTGGAATTACTCTGATGGTGGTTCAGAGTCCTGAAAATTCATGGAATTTTCCTTTCTTCCTCTGCTGTCCTTGTGTAAGATTGATTGAAAAAGAGGAAAATATTATTTGAAGAACATGTGGACTATACAAAGTGGGATGAAGCCTGTCAATAAACATAAGACATTTACCAGGAAAAGTGCTGTATAATAAAGTTCTGATTATATAGTATGCCACATTTGAAGTTATTAAACGGTATAGCTGTGTTACGGCCTCTGGCCTCAGGTGGCCCCGCCTTCCTCTATGGCAGACCTTCCCAAAGTGTGGGGCACGCCCCCTAGGGGGGTGCAGAGCTATGGCGGGGGGGACGCGGGATGAAAAGGGGGGAAAAAATAAAACGCTTGGACACTGCTAGCACGGGCGCCTACAGAAACGCAAAGCAGGAGATGAAGCATCGCTGAATATGTTTCCAAACCAACTTCATTCTAAGCCAAAGACTAGAAAATATGGTGAAGCATGTCTGCCCTTTGGTTTCACCTGCACAAGTGCCAAGGTAGGTCTCCCCTGCAGAATTGCTTTTCCCTTCGTCAGGAGCAGCGCTGGGCTGTTTAAATCACGGACAAACAGTATCCCACATTCGTGATTTTTAGTTCACAAACACTTCTCATAATGACTAACTACTGCTGACATTTTGGAGATGTTAGCTCTTTATACAGTAAAGTTACAGCGGGATATAAATAATATCAGGCTGATCCTGCCACGATTTGTTCCCCTGGTTCAAATCACAGACAAACAGTATCCCACAGTTGTTTATGTTTTTAAACCTATTTTGCACACAGAGGCATTTTTTGAAAAATGTATTGATAGCAATGTTGAATATTATTACACAGGAAAAAAAACAACTACACGTAAAATAATCACATCGTGACGCCTCTGCCTTTGTAAATGGAGGGTCAGTAACTGCGTGTGTATATGTAAGCGTGTAAAACCTGAAGATAGAGACAAAATACTGTTAATCTGACTATCTGCCATTCTGCAATTCAGCTCATGTAAACAATAACGTGGCGCACAGCGTGACGAACTCTGTATTCCTCGTCCACACGTAAACGCAAAAAAGGAGTTTTAAAAAAATCTCCATTTTCGGTGATTCGAAATGCCGTTTACATGTGGACGAAACAGCTGCGTTTTCAAAAATACTCGTGTAGGTGTGGACGTAGCGTAAAAGAGTTAGTAGTTTATTTTCTTACTACCTGTAATTTATTGCAGAGTACTTGTATTTGCTTAATTGTTTACTAAATGTTTGAGGTGTGAAATAAACCGCAATGGAGCCGGGTCGTAACATAAGTGGGGGCTCGTCCGGGATACTTATATGATACTTAAATGAATTCTAATGGTTATGATAATGTTAACCATAAAACACCTTGATGACATAATAATTTAAATGATTCCAGTGTAATTACAGTTGAGATTTCAAACTGATTTGACAATCACAAAGATAAAAAAAAATAGTGAAACTTAATATTAGTTATTTTAAGGAAAACATTGATATTAAAGTATAGATGTTGAACTCGTATGTACTACTCAGTAGGGGACATCAGATAGACATAGACCATGTTTTAATGTAGGTCCTACCTATTTTATATACCTCTTTTATATGTTTCCTGACAGACAGCTCTAAGAGGGAATTGCCCTTTGAATAGCTAATTAATAACACTTGGTTAATAAACCACGATAACTAAATGTTAAATTAAAAAATGCTAATGCATGAAGGTGTCAGGTTACTGGAGCTGGAGGTAAATATAAAGATTTTTCACCCTCATTGTTATTGTTCAGTCAGGACAGCGCGATGATATTCTGTCCTTCAA